GCTGAGTGAGAGAACGAAGGGTCTCCTTCAATGCTTTCATCAACCTGTTTCTTCATTTTGTTTTCCCATCAAGAATATTTTCTAACACAAGGATGGTTCTTGACTTTTGTTATCATGTAGCAGCTCTTCATTTCATGGAGGTAGGAGTGCATCGCTTGGGGCGCTTGTACACGAGGCGGGTTTCATTCCCCTAAATTGAAACTGTACAAGCACCCTTGGATGGCGTTTGTTAACTGTGCTTCTACCCTGTTTGTTAATGCTTCTACTGTGAAAGGACTAAACTGCTCCATGTCAAGGTTGAGGATACCTCACAGTAATGCTGGAGAGGAAGAAATGGGTGGTTTTGGAGTTGGGGAGAAGGGACAAGGCCATAACTACAACCCAAACTATCCATCCTTCCTTAGCTTCCGTACTGCATTTCCCAAAGCAGATAATAAAATTCTCCAGCCTGTGCTATGCTCCGTGTATCTACTGAATTTACCCAGATGAGACAGAGGCTCCTGCAAGTAACAAATCTGGACTCAACAAGCCAGATGGGACGGGGTCTTAGAGCAAGATATTATGTGGGCTTATTAGATGGGACTAGTTTGGCCCCAATTACAGCTTTGATGCTGCCAGTTTGGCCCCACTAATAAAGGACGTAGCTCCAAACCATGGATAAGTTTCAAAGAAGCACTGGTGAGGTCTCAGCTATGTGCGTTTTTCCCCTTTTGCTCAAGCCACTGAGCTCCACAATAATGAGGACTCTTCTTTGTATTTTATATTTGACTAACAGACTGCATAGTATTTAGAGCTGAATTCTGCGAGGGGACTAGCCTGGTGCCGAAGGAAAGAGTTCTGCTTAAAAATTACAGAGCATTGTGAACAAAACTCCCGGGCCAGACCTCCCTACTCATCTCGTAGCCAGATGAAGACTATCAGCCTTCTTCTATGAGCAAATGGAATTACTCTTGGTTCACAAGCACATGCACAAGTACATGTCACCAGGAACTGGCAAAACAAATAGCAGTGGAGAGATATCCTCAATCCCCTGGAATCCTTTATATGTAGGAAGCAGTGCCTTTGGGGCCCCTGAGCCTGATACATTTTGTGAGCATCCCTGCAGCATCGCGCTCCTGCCCTTGCCACGAAGGGCTGCAGAGGGGAAGAAGGCGGCAAGGCAAGCAGTGGTTTTGAAATTACAGCTTTGATGTTGCCAGGCACAAACTGACTCAGCCTTGGTATGTGGTGCCAAGAAACATGCTCCATGGGCCTCTGGGAAGGTGAACCCTCTGACAGCAGCCTCACCATATAGAGACAGACCAGCTGGTACCTCCGAGACTGTGAACCAGGCAGATGTAGCTGGGCACATAAGCTTCTGAGGTTATCATGTCTTGAACACACCCCTCGTGTGCTCTACCTATGGGCTGTAACTGCAGCCAGAGATCAGCATAATAGATTCATAGATCGATGAATGATCAGCATAAGGGCGTTTCATTCTTGTATCCCTGCAGCAATTTGCTGCAGGGAAGAACCAGCTCTCCAGGCACAGAAATCCCGTCCAGGCCCCGTGGAGGTATCCCACCTGGGAGGCTGTGGCTCTTTGCTGTAAACATCCCTGTGGTGTCCCTTTCAAGGCCTCCGTTAGCCTCTACAGCCAACAAGAAGCAGAAAAGGCCCTGGAAAGGTTTAGCCTGTAACATCCTGCAGAGCAAAGGCAACAAAGGCGGACTTCAGAGCGCTGTGAGCTAGTGCTCAGCTGTGATGGAGTAAGGAGTAAACAGAGCTGTTCCACGTATTATCTACAGGAGAATATTGCCTAGCCCAAGGTCAAAGAACAGCTCAGAGGTAGAAGCCACATCTCCTGGCTCCAAGTACGTTTGCAAGGACCTGGGCTCCGCGCTGCTTCTGATGGGACCGCTGCTCTCTACTTCGGCTTCTCGCAGAATAATGAGCTAACCTCAAGGTCTCTGGGGCTTTCTTATCATGGCCCAAGTCATGGATCTCTATAAAAGCCTAAAGGACTGGGATCAGGGGTATGATCAGCTCTACTCATCAGGCCAAGTGGATGAGTCTCCCACAAAGGTACAGCTCATCTTTCAGAAGCAAAACTTACCTGGGCCAATCCAGACTAGAATGAAGTCCCCAAGAAGTGGGGATCTCTCCACCTCTCATGTCAGTAAGCAGGCCCAGAGCAGTGTGGACATTTAAAATTATTCCAAAACAATCCTTGTGGAACCAGTTCTTACCTGGGTCAAATCTGAAGTGCAGAGCATCCCACAACAGTGGGGAGCTGTGCCAGGAAGGAGGCTGTCCTGCAGATTCAGCGCAGCCTGCACACATCCATGCACTGCCATATCGGAGGTAAGGTGAAGAGATCGTGGGAGCTGCCATTGCTGCACAAAGGTGGTGAGAACTGGAGACCTGGATTGGACATCTTTAGCAACACAGGTTTTGGCTCCCAAGTCTGTTCAACCAGACACACCTTCTGTGTTACACTGAAGAGGCAACCCAGTCTAACAACACAATGGATATCAGGAAAGCTGGGACAGCCCCTGCCCTTCCCTATGTCCCATTTCCCCTTTAGTCTTTGCCTCGGCTGGACAGGTGTTGGGATAGGGTCTGTCTCATGGTGCGCATGTGTGTGCAAATGCACAAGCAGCAGGGTCTTGCTTTCAGGCCTCTTGGTATTCCCACAGTACTAATAATAATAACCCCTACAAGACTGGAGTAAACCCTGACTCAATGCAGCTGGCTCTGTGGGTGGGTCCCTGTTTACAAGCTCCATCCAGCCCCTCTAGGCTGTCTCAGGTCACTCCAGCTGCATCTGCCTTCACCTAACAAGCTCCTAACACGAGCTGCTGCAGCACATGAAGAGGCAGTCAGTGCAGCCTGTCCCTGCACCCCTGAGCTCCAAGTGCCATGGGAGCACAGCAGTGTAACCTGCTCCTTTATGATCTAGATTTTAATGTTTAAATATTTTATTGAGAACCTTAAAGTATTTACTAGCCCTTTATAAGCTACCAATGCAGAAATGCAACTACAATATACAGCAAGACCAGATTCACTCCTAATGGGCACCAAGGAGAAGTCAGACCCTGGCAGACTCTTACCCCAGATAAAGAAGGGGGATCAAGCCCAATGGAGTCAGAGGATGTGTATGTCTGAGTGAGGGATGGGGAGGAAAAGCCCAAGGAGTTCCATTTTATTTACACTAGGATGAATGAGAGGGGGGATGAGGCCTCATGGAGTGACTCCTGATTTACACTGGTGTCAGAGAGGAGTCACGACCAATGGAGTCAAATCCTCAGGTGGTATCAGCCAATGCAGTTGCATTGGCATTACATTTCCACCCATGGCAGGCTTCACTCAGGGGGAGGCACAAGGAGTCTCTTTCTTCACTCAGTCGGTACCAACAATTTATGTTTCCAGCTATATTTGAAGTCATTGTCCATCTCCCACCTCTTCCATCAGTTCCAGGTTTCTGGAGAAGGATACCGTGGCCTTCTGGCTCTTTACACCTGGGGCTGGATTTACACGGTGTCCTTCACCTAAGCGCCATTGTGCCAAGCACTAGGTTTTACCCATCCAATTGCCTGGAATCCCAATACCCGGGCTCCTTATACAAAGTGCAGGGAGTGCTATGCGCCTAAAGGCTTGTCTGTAGGGGGAAAGGTCCCGCACAATAAACTTGGGTGTAGATTTACAGCACACTGGCCACTCGATAGTAATGCTCTTTATGGACTTCTTTAGCGCACACAAATGTAAGGTAGTTTACTCCTCCAGACCAGAGCTTAGCAAGGATTTTTATTTCAGAGCAGTCCAGATCTACTGTCCTTCCTTCCTCTCCCCAGGTATTTTTCACCTGTGCCTTCCATGCAGAGCTCCTTCCACTCACCCAGTTAATATGGCGATTTTGACTTCCTCCTGTACAGAAATATGTACGTCTCCCAGCTCAGCAGCCCCCTCCTCCTCCCACTCTTTTGGGTGTGTCACCTTTGAAGTGAAATCAGGTAAATAGTCGCTGTCTCCTGGCGCTTGTGGCAGGGGAATCACTTGGCAGGAAGCAGGCGGGCACACTGGAGCTGAACAGTGAGCAAGGCTTTGGCAGGGGCTGGCTTCATCCTTCAAGGGATGCCGAGGATCCCGAGAGCAGCTTGTCCAGGCCGTTCCATCCTGGGCAGCCGACGAAGGAGGCTGAAGGACAGCAGCTCCTGCGCCGTGATTCAGAAGAAATCTTGGTGAGGACCGGATGCCCGTCTGCAGAGGTAACAGGCAAGATCGCTTCCTTTATTCTGATGTAGAGCGTAGCAGCTCCGGGCCTACAGCTTTTGATGATATCTCGGTCACCCGGCAGTTTCAGCGGGAGCAGGGAGGGGTGCACCCAGAAGGCAGGGCTGGCCCCATTAAATGCTGTTTCTTGGGGCGGCACAAAGCAGGAGTTGCTTCATAAAGTCAAGGGAGCTCTGGTGAACAACTTAAACTCCTGTAAAGAATGTGTCCCTTCATCAAGAGCATCGTCCTGGAAGGAGCTGAGCTCCTCGCCTTGCTGCTAAGGTGACCCAGCATCTTTCAGGAGCATTATTCCTTGCAGCTGCTTAATTAAACACAATATGCATAAAGAAAACATCCGGATGCCATTTTGCCTCTGAGTTTAGGATACTGAGACTTAATTCTTAGCTCTGCCACAGGCTCCCCATGACACCTGGGACAACTCAGCTCTCTGTGCCTTGGTTTCCCTGCCATTAAAACAAGGACAACCCCCCCTCCTTCAGTGGTGCATGGCGCTCTGTAGGTCTAGTGGCCAGGTAGATAACATGTACCTTAAATCTGCACAGCATTGCTGAAACCCAGCGGAGTTGCACTCACTTACCTGCAGAAGCATCTGGCCCCTCGGATGAGATTTCCTGTGAGTGGGTGGAGGGGTGTGAACAGCAAATGGTGTTGCCCTAGGAAAGAGCACTCTGTTCGTGTGAAGTGTGGCCAGCAGTTATTTTCAACCAGCAGCCCCGATCCTGATTGCCCTGAAGGCAGAATCAGGGTACAGGAAAGAAAGTCCTGTATTTTCTTGCATACAGCTTGCACCTTCCCCCCCCAAATCACTTGCTGGAAATTGGGGTGAGCGGTTTGAGGAAATACAGCGACTGCCGCTTCTGCACCATGAGCCTCTGGCCAGGGAAAAGAGATGGCAATGCTGCACAGAGGGCAGCACAGCGAGTGCTTGGGGCTCCCTAGCAGCTGGCTGTGGACAATAGGAGCCAGTAGGCTGCTGGCTCTATTCTGCTCTATTTTTAAAGCAAAGCTGAGCCAAGGGTGCCAGGGCTCAGGCCGAATGAGCTGGTTGGGGCCCCCAGCTGACTCCCTAAGGTCTGCTGGATAGGATCAGGCCCCCCGTGGACCTGGTCGGCACTGCTGGCCACTCACTCAGCTCCGCTCATGAGAAGAGAAGAGAGGTAGGGCAGTTTGGCCCAGCTGGTAGCCCACTGCAGCATCCTGCAGCTAGGAGGTTAACAGAGCAGCCATAGTGTTTGTGACTGCAGCTGCCTGAACTGTCGCTGGAAAAATACCATATTTACCAGTATTTGCAAGGAAAGATCTTTTTTTTCTTCATTCTGCCTTTCAATACCACAGTACACATCTTATTTGGGGGGGATTGTATGCAAGAAAACACAGTGCAAGGAGCCTGGCTTGCCAAGAGTTGCTCCCACTGTATCTTAACACAGGCTTGCAGGCCAAGGATGATGCCTCGAGGTCACTGCCTGCAGGCGGAGGGTCCCGTCCCAGAGGGCACCGCACTATCGCACAGCAGTGGGGAGCTTGAAGTAGGATGCAGGAGGCAGGTGCCAGCAAGAACAACTGCCCCAGTGAGACTAAGTTGGGCAGATGGGGAACAAGTTCCCCCCAAGGAATATTGTGGGATGGGGTTTTGAATGAGCCTGGCAGCTGGTAGGGGCACAAATCCATGGGGCCCTGTTTCTTGGGGCGGGGGCAGAGAAGCATCTTCTCCCCGGGGAAGACTGGAGCTCCCCATGAGAGTCAGTGGGAGCACTAGGTTTTGGCTCAGCCCTTGCCAGAGGGGATGATGCTGTCTCCTGCTCTCCTCACCCAAGCCGCAGGAGCCCCGGGGCAAGCTATTCTCTTGCAGGACATCAGAACAGGGCCAGGTGCCTGCAGCTTCCTTTTGCAGCACTTTCCAGCAGGACACAGAGGAGGGAGCAGGGCAGCTGGAGCCTGCAGTACATCAGCATGTCTCTTTGGAGTCCTGGTTGGGGCCACCTGTGCACATCCTTGGAAACTTTAAAGAGCAGGTTACACAGACACCTGACTGGGACGGGTTAGTCAGGTGTGATCCTGCTGTGAGCAGGGGGCTGGACTAGATGACCTTGTGAGATCCAGCCGTACTTTCCTATGATCCTATGAGGCTGGCCTGCAAGTGAGGGTGAAATGGGCATGTGCTGCATGAAGTGCTATCATTGAGTCACGTTCCAATTTGGTGTCACCCACTGATGTCAAAGACACTGGGCATCACCTCAACTGAAAATCAGCCACCCTATTTTCTGTGTGCTGAGACCTGTCAGCCCAGCAGCCTCCTGCATGGGACACCTTGAGCCAACCCAAGCCCGCGGTTCTCCGCCTCCTTAGACTCAAGGTCCCATGGGGAAATGCCAGCTCTTAGTTTCCACTTGCCATTTGCCTACAGAAAAATAATAGTCATGATCTTTCTGAGGTCTTTGCAACAAGAATGACAAGGCAGAGTGCATTTAACACTTTGGATTCCTATTTTTAAATATCTGGGTTAAACGGTGTTCGCACACCTAACTGTGCTAACACCACGTGGTACCCCTGAAAGGACCCTAAGGCAACCCAGGCGGCTGCAACACCCTGGTTGAGAATCGCTGCCCCAAGCCGTGCTGCGGGTCGTAGCCAGACCCTCGCAGCGAGCCACTGCACTCGCTCCACAAAAGGACGACACACTGTCTCCTCCTCATTTCGATTTCCCGTCTGAACTGCGCATCACCCAGGCCAAGTAATAACACATGTGGGAAAAACAGTGAGAGCAACAACACAGCTAGGAGGAATTGCAGGGTGCTAGCAGAGCTGGGAGGGGCGCCAGGGCAAGCTGTTAAATGCAGCACTGAAACTAAGAAGGGCAGAGGAGGAGCTGAGAGCAGCGACAGCAGAAGCACGAGAGATGCAGGGAATGATCCCAGCAATTCTTGGCTGATGCCGGCTGGGATCCGGCTGCAGGAGAGCTGCTCGGCCCCCTAGTAGGAGACAGCAGAGCCTCTGTGGACAGACTATGCCCTGAAGAGCAGCCTCTGAGCTTTTCAATGCTCCTTAGATGCTTGTGTGGTCTTCTAGTAATAGCCAAAGGCAATGCCCAAAAGGTCATTGCTCTGGCTAAACTGTTAGAGGTCTGCAGCCCTCACCTGGAGTGAGAGAATACTGCCAAACAAAGGCTTTGCGGCCTGGGCGCCACAGCCTCAGCTGGTGGCACCAGGCAGAGCATCGCTGAAGTCGCTGGAGTTAACAGCTGCAGCACAGCCCAAGTGTCGCTGCTGTGCGGAGTGGGAGGGAAGGCACTTCGCAGCAGCCTTGTTCATGCCTCCAAACCCTTCCCTCGCACCTTCCATTGGAAAGGCTGACCGCATCTTGCGGATAGGAATGAATTAAACCTCTCTGTTGCCATAAATGTTTTTACAGAAGGGCAAGCTGCGGCAGAGAGAGAAGCCACTTGCCAGAGGGCATCTAGGAAAGCAGAGCACAGCTGGGAATAGTTGCCCGGTCTAAAAAAGGGAACACTGCAGCCTTCACCAGAAGGACTCTCCCCAGCCCACAATATCCAAGCAGCTTTGCAAGTCTCTCCATGAGGCACCCCCACGCTTGCCCCAGAACAGGAGCAGGGAATCGCTGGCTTGTTCTGCATTGCTCCAGAAAGGGCCCTACATTGCAGATGAACCAGCTCTGCATCTGGTCCTGAGACATGATTTTGTAGCAAGTCTGATCCACGCTTGATCCTTGCAACTTTTTTTCCTGCAAAGACTCTGGTAAGGAAGCATGGGCAGGGCAGCAGAGATGGCAGTGGAGAGATGGGGAGGAGGCAAGAGCAACAGAGATGGCAGTGGAGAGATGGGGAGGAGGCGGAGAGGACAATGACTTGGAAGCCAGTGGGAGGCTAGCCGATGAGTAATTAAGCTAATGGCGTTATTAAAATCTTCCCACTCTATTCATCCGTTCTCCTGAACGAAATGTAACCGTAACACTGCCTGAACTCAGAGGAGATTCTTGATCCCATCTTTAGCTCTTAGTGGAACGATATTTCTAGCAGGGACTTGGGTCTGAGAAGCATGGCAGCACAGTTTCTTGACCAAAAATGGGTTGATCGGCTTATTTGCTTCAAACCCCCCAGCCCCCAAGGCTGAACATGCAGAGACTCTCCTCTTCTGCGAGATTTCAGAACAGTTTTCTTTCTTCCTTACTTAGGTGAATGTTGCCTGGTAAAGAGCACATCGGTGCATCTGGGGTCGTCGTAACCTCCCATAGCTCCGCGCTGATCCTTCAGGCCACAGCCAAGGCATCCGGCATCTGCTGCGAGCTACAGCCTGTCTCCAGCTGCCATCCTGACGTCTGCCTCGAGGAGACTCCCAGCCACCTACAGCTGCTGCTCCTGAGAATATGAACCAGTTTTAACCGGAGAGGGGCTCGGCCGAGGAGTGGGATGGGCTGGGTGAGCAGATGAGCTCATGCACTTTGCAGCCGGAAGAGAAACTCTTGCAGATAAGAAGCTTCTCCATTCGTGAGGACCAACAGGCAGATTGGGCTGCAAGGGACCGAGTGATGTGGGCCTGATCAAGCAAGTTCGACCGCTGAGGAAAAGTGTCTACTCTATGGAGCAACCAGAAGTGGCTTTTCTCCCATGACCCCTGGATCCTTGCAAGGACCCTATAATGTCACCACCAAACTATTCAGATGTCTGGGAGCTGTGGTGCCCCTTCGTGGCTGCTGCACAGTGTTGCTAAGCTGGGTGACACCAAATCATGAACAGTAACTTCTGCAGGGCCTTGGCTGACAGGAGGCCAATGGCTCCCTCCGCCTGCATGCAGCTGGCACTTTCTCCTCCTCCTGGCCACTCCTGCCATCCTGTGCTGGACACTGTGGCTGCCTTTCCCTTCTGGCTCCATCCCACTGACCTTGACCCGAACTGCTACAATACCTGTGGCAGCGTGATCTCTTATGTCCCTTTCCACCGTCATTTTGGGGTCTGCGACTACCCCTTCGAACCTGCCTTCATCCAGAAGAGGAACGAGCGGGAAAGGCGAAGGGTGAAGTGCGTTAATGAAGGCTATGCCCGGCTCCGCGGCCACCTCCCGGGCACTATGTCAGAGAAGCGCCTGAGCAAAGTGGAGACCTTGCGAGCTGCCATCCGGTACATAAAGTATCTCCAAGACGTTCTCAGCAGAAGCCCCGAGGGGACGGCTCCAGAAGCCGACAGCAGTCTGGCAGAGCGTGCAGCTCCCAGCTGCTCCTTAGCACCGGACTGCAGTGATGAGGAATCCAAGGTGACCTCCTCCTCTTCATGCTCAGCCCTGCCATCCTCCTCCCCTGAGCCAAGAGGAGCTAATCGGAAGGACTGTGCCAGCACAAGCTGGTCCCAGTGCTTGGAAGAGCAGAGACTGTCCACCAAGGCTTCCTGAGAAACTTTAAGCCTCAGTTGTAAGAAACCCCTTTCAGATGTCAGTTGTCCTCGCTGGCACCTGCCTCCCGCATCCTACTTCAAGCTCCCCACTGCTGTGTGATAGTGCGGTACCCTCTGGGACGGGACCCTCCGCCTGCAGGCAGTGACCGCGAGGCATCGTCCTTGGCCTGCAAGCCTGTGTTAAAGGGAGCAACTCTTGGCAAGTCACAGCCAGGCTCCTTGCACTGTATTTTCTTGCATACAACACCCCCAAATAAGATGTGCACCATGATGCTGCAGCACTGTTAGCTATTAAGCTGCACTAGCTGCACGTCACGATAACCCTGCCCTATTTCCCCTTCTGCTATGTCCGGGTGACCTGCATGGGCATCAAAATAAAGGAGTCACGCAGAGCTGACTGTGGTTCTGTTACTTTAGCACAGACCCCAGGAACTGGGGTTGGCTTCAGAAATTGCCGGACAAAGCCAACGATCCCTGTTAAGCCTCTCGACATGTTCAGTGTGATCCAGTGCAAGGACGATCCCGTGGGGGAGTGGAGACTTTTCAGATGAGAAGGGGAATGGGTCCTTGCCCCAGTGCAAAACTGCCAGTTGTCTGGCACAGGTTCTCCTTGCCCCCGTGTCTGGGGTGGTGTTCTCTGTGTTGGGTTTCTCCCTTTGGGTCCCAGAGGCATTCACCCCCCACAGCAGGGAATTGAGCTGAATTCTTCCCACACCTGAGTTCAGCTTTATTCTATCAAAGCATAAATGCATTTGCACTCTGCAAAGGAAACTCCACTTGTCTGGGGTTCCCCAGGTCAGCCCTGCTCTCCTCCCCAGCCTCACACTATCCTCACCACCCAGGGAGAGGCTCCAGAACGACCTACTCCCGGCAGCTCGCTCTCCCAGGACCTTCCCCGACTCACGGCCCCCCTTTGCTGCACTCCGCTGAGTCAAGTCGAGTCTCAGGCCTGAAACCTTCTGGGAGCCCTGGTCACCGCTTCAGTTCAGGCTCCCCATTCCCAAGATTCACACGACATAAGGGAGCAGGATTCAAACACCTATTGAAATCTCAACTAACGTGGTCTTCTTCTCGTGTCTCTACACGACATTTGACCATTTTGTTACACATGCATGTGCTTATTTATTGTACTTTACAAGGTCTTTCATTGCCCGTGTGCCTTCAAGCAGTGGGCACTGTAGCAGGTGTTGCATAGTCTGAGGCTCTGTGTTGCGGTTACAGGTAGTTGAACTAACGGTATCACCCCACGTCTTCATTAGTTCCTTGGAGCGTCTGACTCCGGTGTGCAGGCCTGTGACCTGATATCATGTAAGCGCTTCTGAGAATCACATCTCCAACCTGGTTAGGAGACACAGCTGTGGCAGGTCTTCACTTTCCCACTGGAGAAACTGGCCCAAAGGCAGACAGATAAGGTCCCAATGCCAGGAGAGAGTAAGCATGCTGCCCCATCCAGCCACTTTGGCAAAGAGTTCAGACTCCCGGTCAAGAAAAGGACCTGGGGTGACAGTGGACAATAAGCTGAATATGAGCTAGCAGTGTGGCCTTGTTGCCAAGAAGGCTAATGGCATCCTGGGGTGTATTAGTAGGACCATTGAAATGTTTAAAAAACAAAAAAAAGAAATTCTAGTATTTATATATTATTATATTTATACACTAGAATTTCTTTTTTTGTTTTTTAAACATTTCACTTGGAAGCAGAAAAGACCCCTCCCAGCCTTGGCCTAGAGTCTGTATGTTATTCAAACTGCCCCCGACTTTAGGACTCTGGGCCCAGCTTCTATTCTACCTATTGAAGTATCTAAGTAGATGTAAGCACCTAAGTCTGATTGTATCCCGCTCTGTTCAAGACCCTTAACATTAATTAATGCATCTACTCCTGTAACACACAGTCATCTTACCCTTTATGACTGCGTCATAAAATAAAAGCAGCAAGGAGGAGGAAAACCTACTTACTTTGCCTTAACTGTTTTCCCGGGATGTGAGCAGGGTGGACTAAAATTGTTCTTGTCCGAGGGGCCACCACTGTTGGACTCCCTTGGTTTAAATGCTGTCAGGATGCTGTTGCTGCTCCAGTGTTTGTCCCCTTAAAGACCTTGTTGCCGAAAGGATGACCACAGGGCTTGGTTTATGAAAAATAAGCTCAGCCACATTTATTACCTATGAAGCACCAAACATTAACACACCTAGCCACGGAATGACAGGGTGTTAGCCAGGATATTTGTGCTGCAGGACAGGCATGATTCACAGACATACTCCCTAAACCTAGTACAAAATATCAAGGATTCCCAGACCCTCCTTTATACCCTAATCAAGACAACTCTTGTTCATAGCAGGGGCGGCCAAACTGTGACGCACATACCGCGAGTAGCACAGGCAACCTCTGCGGTACATGGCAGATGAGTGAAGAACGGGCAACACAGCAGCAGAGAGGGAAGGAAGTAGAAAGCAGGGGAGCAACGCAGGCAAGGAGCAGAAAGCAGTGCATCAGACTGGGCAAAGACACAAGGCAAGAAAAGAAAAGCAGAGCAGCAGATGGTACAGACTAACTAAACCTACTCATCTGAAAAACACTGTCCAGGGTAAATTTTGTCCCGAGAGTCTTCAATAAACCTCCCTGGACTCAACGAAGTGGAACTGTTCTTATTTAAATTCCATCCCAATTGATAAATCTAATCAACTTAACTATAATGCACAGTTACACTTATAAGCACATGAGAAACATCCAGAGTTGCTAGATCAGTGATAAAATGCTTTGGAATGGTTGCTAAGCTTTGTGCTTCAGCCGGTCTTGATCTACTCTTTTAGGTCAAGAAAAGACCTGACATTTGGTCGAGTAGCCACCTCCTCCCCTCCGACCACCATCTGCCTCCTGGTTTTGTTCTTGCCGTTTCCACAGAAGCATCTGGTGCTGGGCGCTGTCAAAGACTAGATTAATCTAATCCTTACCCTTCTGTCTGCATACACACCCATCTATCTTGTTATCCACCCTTAGGCATACGTGTCTATCATAGCTCTTAGTCCCTGGGGTGAAAACTAGACTACATTCATAGAATCATAGAAAATGAGGGTGGAAGGGACCTCAGGAGGTCGCATCCAGTCCAACCCCTGCTCAAAGCAGGACCAGCCCCAACTAGATCATCCCAGACAGGGCTTTGTTGAGCTGGGCCTTAAAAACCTCCAAGGATGGAGACTCCACCACCTCCCTGGGAACCCGTTCCAGTGCTTTACCACCCTCCTAGCGAGACAGTTATTCCTAATATCCAACCTAAACCTCCCTTGCTGCAACTTGAGACCATTGCTCCTTGCCCTGTCATCTGCCACCACTGAGAACAGTCCAGCTCCATCCTCTTTCAAACCTCACTTCAGGCAGCTAAAGGTTACTATCTAATCCCCCCTCTGTCTTCTCTTCTCCAAACTAAATAAACCCAGTTCCCCCAGCCTCTCATGGGGGTAAGTCATGTGCCCCAGCCTCCGAACCATTTTTGTTACCCTCCGCTGGACTCTCTCCAACTTTTCTGCATCCTTTCTGTAGTGGGGGGCCCAAAGTTAGACACAGTACTCCAGATGTGGCCTCACCAGTACTGAATAAAGGGGGATAATCACTTCCCTTGATCTGCCGGCAACGGTCCTACTAATACAGCCCAGGATGCCATTAGCCTTCTTGGTAACAAGGCCACGCTGTTAGCTCATATCCATCTTATCGTCCACTGTCACCCCCAGGTCCTTTTCTGCAGAGTTGCTGCCCAGCCAGTCAGCCCCCAGCCTGTGCTGGTACATGGGACTGTTCTGTCCTAAGTGCAGGACTTTGCACTTGTCGAACCTCATGACATTTCTTTTGGACCAATCCTCCAATTTGTCTAGGTCGCTCTGAATCCTAGCCAGCACATTTACTACCCCTGCACCCGCTTAGGTGTCAGCCACAAACTTGCTGAGGGCACAACTCCATCCCACCTTCCAGATTGTTAATGAAGATGTTGAACAAAACCGGCACCAGGACCGACCCCTCAGGCACTCCACTTGATACCGGCTGCTGACTTACTTAGAGCCACTGATTACTACCCGTTGAGCCTGACAATCCAGCCCTGCTCCTCCTAGAGCAGGGGTGGGCAAAATGCAGCCCGGGGGCCGGATGTGGCCCACCAGTCCATTCTATCCGGGCCACGAGGCCCCTAAAAAATTTAGAAAATTAATATTTATCTGCCCCTGGCTGCCTGTCATGTGGCCCTCAATGGCTTGACAAAACTCAGTAAGCGGCCCTCCACCCGAAAAAATTGCCCACCCCTGTCCTAGAGTAAGGAACAGAACCCAGGAGGCCCGAATCCCAAGCTCCTGCTCTAAAACTAGATCCCACTCCTCTCTCAGATTAAGGGTTATAACCTGTGGGCGCTGGCTACCCACTTCCTGCTCTAACCACTAGTTACCAGTCCCAACCCAGCATCTGGAGCGTGGTGCAGGCACTACTGAAATGTAAAGCATCATGAGAGGCAGTAAATGAGAGGGAAGCATCTGCGAGAGCATGGAGAGTGTGACCCCCAGGGAGGCTTGAGCTGAGGGCTCATAACTAGCGTAACTGGAAGTCCCAAGATCGAAGCAAGGATAGAAAACTCTTTGCCACCAGTTGCGACTGGCGTCCCTAGTGATCACCCTCGGGGAGGAAGCCTGTTTCTGGAGACAAGAACTGCCCTCAGCTCCATAAAGGGAAGCTCCAAATTCCCACCAGCTTCCAATCCAGGCTTTGTGGCAACCTCGGTAAGTGCCGTCTGTTTAATAAAATAAAGACCGAGGAGCGGAGGCCCGACAGAAGCAGGACGAACAGTTCTAGAAGCAGAAAAGCCGCGATGATGTCACAGACGCCTGGGGCAGTTCTGGAAGCGCTGGTTCTGGCACCCAGGACGAGCCCGGCGCTTGGTGCAGTAGGTGCACAAAGCCTGGTGAGCAGATCTCCAGGAAGGGATCCGTGGGTCCAGGCGGTCAAAAGGGCCTGGACCCAGGCTCTATGCCTGCTAGGCCTGAGGAAGGGGCCAGGGCAGTCCTTTGCTCTGTGCGAGTTGTCAAGACACCTGCAACTTCACTGACTGTCCACGGTCCAGGGGGCCATCAGCTTCCAGGCTGGTCTTTGGGGCAGTGGGCACTTTCCCCCGGCCCCATTGATACTGCTGAATAATGGCTGCAAAGCAGGGCGGTCATCAGTTCGCACACTCTCCGTGCTGCTCCCATGACAGGCACTAACCCCGATTACCACCTCCTTTACAGAATACCCTGCCGGAGCAGGCCGTGCTGGGCCCGGGGCCCCAGCCACCGCCAGACATCCCCACGAGCCACGGTTCCTGCCCTGTTCCAGCCCCTGAAGCTTCACCAGGATGACGGTTCTTGTGCTGCTATCCGTCCTGGCCGGCCTCCTCGCGGGGTGTGCAGGGAAGATCTTCCAGCGCTGCGAGCTGGCCCAGGCGCTGCACGAGGCAGGGATGGATGGGTTTCACGGGTACAGCCTGCCTGACTGTGAGTGCCACCGCCCCTGGATGTGGGCTCGGTGTTATATTCCCTCAGCGTCTCCCTATGGGACTCCAGGGATAGTTGCTCCTCAGCCCCTCGCCGTCAGGCTCCACACACCCACTTGCTATGGGGCTCCATGCACGCTCAGCCCACTGCCCCTTGCCCTGGGGCTGGGTGCAGTTGCTTGGCTGGGATGGCCCTTGAGCAGGGGAATGGACTAGATGATGTTGTGAGGTCTCTTCCAGCTCAACTTGCCTATGATTCTCCAGCAACCTCCCCTTGGGTCTCTCTGCACCTATTCACCCCCAGCCTCACCATGGAGGGAGCGGTGCTTATTCATCCTCTGCCCCCTCCCTCTGAGGCTCTATGGCGGGGGGAGGCAAAATGCCAGGACATTCTATCCAGCCCATGGAGCCCCTAAAAAATTTAGAAAATTAATATTTATCTGCCCCTGGTTGCCTGTCAGGCAGCCCTCGATGGCTTGCCAAAACTCAGTAAGCGGCCCTCCGCCTGAAATAGTTGCCTGCCCCTGCTCTATGCATATGCACTCCTCAAACACTCACTCTGGGGCTCTATCTTGACCCCTCTCCCTCTGCTAGGGCTCTGCATGGCTTTCTATGAGAGCGGGTTTGACACAGGCACTGTGGTCCATGAGCCTGATGGCAGCTCTGACAATGGCATCTTCCAGATCAACAGCCGCCTGTGGTGCAATGACTACAAGACCTCATCAAGCAACCTCTGCCGCATGCACTGCAGTGGTGAGAGCCTCCTGCCGAGGGTCAGGGCTGTCCTCACGGGGGCCTGTGCTGCAGAGAGCAAGGTGGTGGGATCTAGGGGAAACAGTCTCTCTTGGGAGTCACTGTTGACTAATCCAAGCTGCCTTCTGGACCCGAGGCATCGTGGGATGGCAAGGAAAGATCCACCTTTCCCTTCAGCAGGTGGGAAAGTGGACAGTGGGGGCTGAGGTCAGTGTATTTGAATAGAGCTGGGGCCCCATGTGCATGGGGTTGCACTCCCTTAGACTCTCAGTATCGCTCTTACCTTCCTTCCACAGATTTGCTGACCAGTAACATCAAAGATGACATTGTATGTGCCATGCATATTGTGCAGCAGCCCCAAGGCATGGGGATCTGGTAAGGCATAGCTGGATGACAGGGTGCGAGTCGGCTGCCAACCTAACACTGTCCAGTCCTTCACCAAATAATGCAACCAACCACAATACTCCACAAATCTACACAGCACTGCACAGTGCAATGCGGCATTACGCAGCCCAGTACAGATATACACAATGCTGCAGACTGCCACACATTACAGACTGCAATGCACACTTCCGCAGCCCCATGTAATGCAGAACAAGCCTACAAGGCAGTGCCCAGTGCCATACAGCAACGCAAATTTGCACAGGGCTGCAGAATGCTGCACGGGGCAATGCAAATGCACATAACCCCACACAGAGCTGCAGAGCATTAACCGATGCAACATAAATGTGCATGGTGCTGGACTGACAGCCATACACAGTGCTTAACAAACTGACAGCTGTACACTACGCAATGAAACAGTGCAACGCAAAATTATAGATTGCAGCACAGCACACTGCTAGAAAGCAGAGCAGAGCACAAAAAATGTTGCACAGGAAGATATAATATAATATAGCAAACCCAATGTAGGACAACAAGTCCTACAAAATGCTGCACTGTAAACATAAATTACCATATTTCCTCAAACCCAAGACACCTTCGAATTTAAGGTGATTCCCCCACCATTTAGATCCTAGACACGGAAAATGTAAAACCGTAAAAATTGGTTGCAATTTTCCATGTCTAGAATCTAATTCTGGAAGATAACCTTAAATCTGTGTTGTCTTCCCGCCACGGCATGCAACAGCCCTGGGGTAGGCAGCCTGACTTCTCCCTTGCCCCGTACTCAAACCCAAAATCCTATGTTGAATGGAGGGAAAACCTTGTCTTGTATCTGAGTACACACGGTACCACACAAGTAACACAACTACATTATTACAACCTGACTGCGCGCACACACCAGAGCATAAGATCCCTGTATGCGGTTGGCCTGCTACAGCAGAGGTTGCTGCATCTCAGTGCTGAGCAAACAAGTAGATGCTATTTACATCTCAGCTGCCCGTGTCCCAGGGGCTCTTGGCACCAGGTGACTGGTCCCCAAGTAGAAACACAATGCAGCTGTGACCCAAGTGCCCAGCTGCAAAGGGGACTGCATCTCAGTGCCAGGTAATCCGTCCCCATGTGTCAGTGCTGCGATTAATGGCAGCTGATTTTACTGACCTGCTCTCTGTTTTCCCCTCTCAGGATGAGCTGGAGGCAGCACTGCAAGGGCCATGACCTCTCCATGTGGGTAGAAGGCTGTAATGTGGAAGGCGGCTGAAGGAGTGCTGGGAAGGCCCAGCATCGGTGAAATGGGGCACCCTAGAGGCACTTGCAAGACCTCCAGCACCTTATCCTAAAGTTCAGTGAAACACTCCTCGACCCTTAAATTCTCTGCCCATTAGCTAGTCCCAAACTGAGTGGTTGGTTTAACTGGGGAAGGGGCAGGGGCCTCCCCCTTCATAACAGGACTGAACCACAGGGAGCAGTTCCTCAAATAAATGCAGCTGGAGGTCTGTTAAATGACAAGCGTCAAGAATTGTATTGGCTGGCGGTGAGTGCTTAGAGCAGGGGAGAGGGGCTGGGAGTCAGAGCTCCTGGGGTCTCTTTCCAGCGCTCGGAGGGGCTGGGAGCTGGGACTTGCAGGCTCTATATTTTATGCTAGTTATCCATTCCCTGGCCATTTACAGATGTTACATTTTTCTACGTTTGATCTGGACTACAGCTGTCACTGTATATGTGTGGATGTCTGTAGTCCGAATTAAAATTGGTTCCAGTCTGACTTAACTAATCCTTATTGAACGAGGATTAAAGAGGATGCAGGCTAGGGCAGTCTGAACTAGGCAATTTAAACTGCATTAATTAACATGTATCTACGAGTCCTTAGGAACTTGGCAGGTAAGCGGTAAATCTCAATCCTGGCAAGGGAAACTCAGCTGGGGTTTTGCAACACAACAGAGGCTATCAGGCACAAAGTGACACCTTTACAAGGTCTAATGTGCCAACAACACCTCACCGGGACTAAGTACCAGTATCCTAAACGCTGAGTCCTGCCCAAGCACACGGACTACTAGTCTGTAAAGAAGGAGGCAAACCCCCTTGACTTCCCCCCTCCGCAACACATTGGCTGAGATGGTCATCAACACTCAGGTCAATCGCACCCATTAAGGCAAAGGTGGGCAAAATGCGGCCCACCAGGCCATTCTACCTGGCACACGGGGCCCCTAAAAAATTTAGAAAATTAATATTTATCTGCCCTTGGCTGCCTGTCATGCGGCCCTCGATGGCTTGTCAAAACTCAGTAAGCGGCCCTCCGCCCAAAATAATTGCCTGCCCCTGCATTAAGGCTTCTAGAACAGCACTTTAGATAACTGTCAGAAGGCTTGCAACAAGGCAGCGGTGCTTAAAAGGCCTATCGCCTCCTAATTATTTCCAACAGCAAGTGCTAAGCGCGTAAGTCCACACACAGAGGCTGCAAATTGGGTCTGTTAAGGGGCTGATGGTCAATGATCATCTAACTCTCAATTCAAATTGAAATGTGATTCAAACTGCGTGATGCAAATCAGTTAACACAATTTAGAAAAAGGTGAGTATATCTACAAACACCCTGTCTTGCTCCCTAAAGCAGCGGTTCTCAACCTTTTTCATACCAGGACCCATTTGCAAAGACCGATGGCTTGTTCGGACCCACACCCTGTTGGTGCCTAACCCACAGACTGGATTTCTTAAATGTAGTCTAAACAGGGACTACAGATTTTTATCCCATTACCTGGATTAGTTTTGATGACCCCTATACCCCCATGGGTTTATTTTGTTGTTCGCTTCAACCCCTTCTGCTGGTCACAGCACTGCCCTCTCTTTTTACCCTTGCAACCACTTCAGCATGGCTATATCCACGGCTGGATTGGCCATCCCATCCATAAGGTGATCACACCACAATTATTTTGATATTCCTAGCCTCAGGAAGCCATAGCCATAGCCAGATCTGCCTGCATGAACTTCTACACTGCATCATGGGGTATATTAGCCATAAGGGGTACTTCTCCATTTTGCTTTGGCACAATGGAGGGGTGCCAAAGATATGCCCCCAGAGCTGTGTCATGCAGCCTGCAAAGCTCCTAGAAACGTCAGAAACTTAGAGGTAGGGCAAGCAGGGGTGGGTCCCACTACCAATTTCTACAATACAAAGCCTTGTTGGCTAGGCCCCAGACCTTTGCAAGGACTGCGGCAAGACTTCTTTACTGTAAATAGTTCTTTAAGTTCCCGTAAATAAGAAAGTGTCATTTCCACACTACAGCTCTCAAGATACTACAGACTACAGGAAGCCACAAGCTACCGACTGCAGCTGTAACGGGATTTACACTGGATTCCACCCCCACTGCTTGCTGCCCCGGGGAAAAGCGGCTGCCATTTCAGCAGCGTCTCCTATAGCGTTTCCGTTCCAATGAAGAAAAAAAATCTGCTTTCCCACTTAAGACATGCACCCCCATTTTGGAGGGTTGGTTTTGGTGGGAAGGGTGCGTGTGGTATGTGAAAGCATTTCAAAAAGGGAGGGGGGTCTTTAGGGTGGATTCTCCAATCTCTCTTCCTTTCTTCGCACTGCTCAGGCAGTGGCAAAAAGAGCAGAAACTATCCCCGATTGTTGCAGATTCAGCTGCTCCCCTACCTACTGCTGGCTGCAATACAGGGGAGGAAATATTTAGAAATGTCTTCAAGTGCAACAGGTTTGGCAAATTTGAGCAGTATAGTGTTTTCACTCCCAGGCAGACATCCATCAGCTACTTCAAAATGGCAGCGGCTGTGTTCAGGGGTGCGCTCTCCAGCCAGGGAGCACGCTGGGTCAGCAGCACCCTTCCCCTTCTCCCTGTGTTGGGGAAGCAGCGTGGACTCTGCAGTCCCCATCTTTTGGGGACATCACCACTTCCCCCACAACCAGAGGGAGCAGTGCCAATGCCAATGAGCGTGCGACAAAACTCCAGCGTGTCGGGACGCTCCCTGGCTTTGTGCAAGCTTGCTGGCCCCTCGCTCTGCTGAACGGGCATGCCCAGGTTATTCACTTTGCTCAGAAGCCACAGGTACTTTGGTCAAGTGACAGAAAAACAAAAGGGTTTATTACAAGGAAAAGCCAAGGGTGAAAAAAAAAAAAAAAAAGTGACCAAGGGCTTCGGGAAAAGCCAAGGGGGAAAAAAAAAAAAAAAAAAAGTGACCAAGGGCTTCGACAACCGTGCGTGATAAAACACAACTGACCCAATCCTTATCCTACGTTCAGACCAGCTGGCCCTCATAAAAATTCCTGTGAAAATCCCCAGGGATTAACCCCCCATCAGTCACAGTTTGCTCTCTCAACCAGGGACCTCCATTCCCCGCTCCTGTCACCCACTCACCGCCGCTCTAGAGGCGATTGCATAATAGCTCAAAATACAGTCGTTCTCTTGTATGCTGTGTAGGGTGGGGCGTGGGAGGTGTGGGTATGGAAGGGGGTGGGTGCAGGGTATGTGTTTGGGGTGGGGTGTGTTGGAGGGTGTGCACGGGTGTGTACGGTGGGGGTGGAAGTGTGTGTGTGGGGGGGTCCTCAGAGTCCCTGGAGTGCGTGTGCAAGTCCCTGGAGCTGCCGGTGGTGGCAGTGATTGGGGCCAGCCCCACCAGTCTCATAGCACGCAGCTCCCTGTGCTCCCGCCCCAGCCCCTGGCCGCACATGGTGGCAGGGTGTGGGGCCAGTTCTACCCGGCCCCGTAACATGCAGCTCCCGCTCAAGTCCCTGGCTACACATCGACAGCATGTAGGGCCAGCCCCACCTTGCCCAATAGCGCTCTTGCTCAAGTGCCTGGCTGCACGTGGTGGTAGCGTGAGGCCAGCCCCACCTGGCCCCATAGCATATGGCTCTTGCACTCCTGCAGTGTGCGGGGCCAGCCCAGCCCCATAGCACATGGCTCCCCACACTCCTGCCCCTTTCCCCCAGCAGGAGTCCCTGGCCCCGCCTGGTGGGCCCATACCTGGGGCGGGGGTTGCTCATCAACTGGAGCCGCTGCATGGAGGTGCCGGCTTGCAGGCACCCCCAACCTTTTTGAACTTGGGGCCAGATCACGAACATTTTATCACCCAGTGGGCTGGTGAGCCATATTCAAAGACCTCACAGGAAGCGGTATCACATCAGGAAGTGATGTCACATGACCATTGACACCAATGAAGTTGCAGGAAGGGACAAAGAAATGGGTCTGGAAATGTGGTTTAAAATCCAAAATAAAAACAATATAAAAGCAAGAATGAAAGAATACCAAACACTTGACTAAAATAAACACTTTCGCTTCTACTCACTTCTCAATGAACAAAAGAAGCATCGTGCACGTCGACAGATCAAAGGTGGAAAAGCTATCAGAGTGGAAACTAATCAAAGCAACAAAATATGGGGATTTTTCAGAATTATCTTCAAGACGACTTACTTTTATTGAATTAATAACTTGTTAGTAACACATCTTTAACTAGTAGTAACAAGTTGAACCCCCAATCCTGCACAAAGAGAAACAGAAGCAAACACAATCCAAACACTGGACAGTATTTTTACAAAGATTTTTACCTGCTCCAAATTTACGTCAGAGCCCAGATTGTTCATGCTCTCTTCTTGAGCATATTGTTCAGTCTTAAACGAGCACACAGCACAGCTGCAGGGGGCTCAGCCACAGCTTTGCCTCCCTGGTGCAGCCCATCCTGTCCCCTATCAAGCGGTGGCTTCCTCACGTGCTGCTGGGCTTTCCCCCTACCTGCGCCAGCTGGCCCCAAAAGGCAGGAGGCTTCCCCGCCGCTTCTGCTGACCAGGGCCGACCCAGTCGGGCGTCCCCAGCAGCATGTGGGAAGCCGGCTTCAGCCACATGCTGCCCCGGATGGGATGGGACCAGCCAGGTTTGCACCGGCCAGGAAAAGCAGCATGCAGCTGAAGCCAGCTTCCCACGTGCTGCTGGGGACGGAAGGAGGCCGGCCAGGTCGGCATCGGCCAGCAGAAGCGGAGCTGTGTGCTGCTCAGGACTGACCGGCACAGACGGGGGAAAATGCAGCTGAGCCCCTGCCGCTCTGGCTGGGCTCATCCCAAGCGGCACATGGCTCCGCCACCACCTCTGCTGGCCGGTGCAGACCTGGCCGGGCTCCTCCCGTCCCCAGCAGCTTGTGGGAAGCTGGCTTCAGCTGCATGCCACTTTCTGGCCGGTGCTCCCATCCGGAGCAGCATGTGGCTGAAGCCGGCTTCCCACAAGCTCCTGGGGACGGGAGGAGCCCGGCCAGGTCTGCACCGGCCAGCAGAGGTGGTGGCGGAGCCATGTGCCGCTTGGGACAGGATGAGGCCGGCCGGAGTAGCAGGGGCTCAGCCTGATGGAGGGTGTTTGTCCCAAAAACTTGCAAAGAAGAATTTTTTTCAAAGATCTGAGTTGGTCTAATCAAAGATACCAGATTTACCCAAAGAACCTTGTCTCTCTGTTTCATGTTCTTCATGCTCAAAAAAAGTGATTCCTGGAATTCAAGGAGATCTTAGCTTTTTATTGGTACATTGATTCAGAAAGGCTGAGAAACATTTGGTTAGAAAGGGCCATGTCTCCCGTATGACAAAGGCCACGGTATCCTACCCAAAAAAATATGCAACAAGGCCAATAAGGTGGTTGAATAAAGGTTTATATTTTAGAAAGATCTGATATATGAGAGATGATGTATTCTGGTCCATCAGTTCATTCATTTGATTGTTAAAACTGTACATTTTATTTCCAGTTCAATTATTTCTGACTTCTACATCCCACCACTGGATTTGGTTTTAACTATGAAACTTGTTAAATAAGAATCCTTAAATATTGTGTTTGAACTTCTTAGCGATCCTTTTATCTATTACAGTTTACATTTTTCAGGATAAAAACAAATGTGCCAGATTGTAAAGCCAGCTACACCAATGACAATAAGAAATAAATTCATTGCCCTCAAGAAGATGAGAACAGGATGGGTTTCAACACTGACAAGTGCAAGGTGCTGCGCCTGGGGAGGAAGAACCAGCAGCAGACCTACAGGCTGGGGAACTCCCTTCTTGTCAGTGCAGAGGCAGAAAAGGATCTTGGAGTCATTATTGATGCCAAAATGAACATGGGCCGACAGCGTGGGGACGCGGTCAGGAAGGCCACCCGCAACTTGTCATGCATCCACAGATGCAACTCGAGCAGGTTCAAGGAGGTGATCCTCCCCCTCTATGCGGCACTGGTCAGGCCGCAGTTGGAGTACTGCATCCAGTTCTGGGCGCTGCACTTCAGGAGGGATGTGGACAACATGGAGAGGGTCCAGAGGAGGGCCACCCGCATGATCAGGGCAGCAGGGCAGGCCCTACGAGGAGAGGCTACGGGACCTGAACCTGTTCAGCCTCCACAAGAGAAGGCTGAGAGGGGATCTAGTGGCCATTTACAAACTAGTCAGAGGGGACCAGCAGGCATTGGGGGAGTCCCTGTTCCCCCGAGCACTCCCAGGAGTGACTAGAAATAACAGCCACAAGCTGGCAGAGGGTAGATTCAGACTAGACATCAGGAGGCGCTACTTCACAGTCAGGGCGGCTAGGATCTGGAACCAACTTCCGAGAGAAGTGGTGTTGGCTCCTACCTGGGGGGTCTTTAAGAGGAGGCTGGATGAACACCTTGCTGGGGTCGTTTGACCCCAGTACTCTTTCCTGCTATGGCAGGGGGTCGGACTTGATGATTTGCTCAGGTCCCTACCTGCTATGAAACTATGAAACAATTTCAATTTTACAGTGGTGTACCTGAGACCTGACTCTACCCCAAACACAAGTATGTAAACCTTACAGATCCACAGGAGAGTAACAGTGCAGATTTCCATGTTCTTTTCAGGCTTTCTGCTGTATCACGTTGATGTTCAGAGTTTAGAATGCAATGGTTATGAAGGCAGAGAGATGAGCTTGTAAAGTGCTACCGTTTCGTGAACAAGTAAAATATCTGTTTTACAGAAAGTATCTTATATGTCTGAACCCAGCTCGGCACACTGCTTGTCTGATATGTGATTTGCTAATGATTCTATGATGTCAAGAAGGAGCGGCTGACTGAGGAACCGGAGGTTTGGCAACTTGGAGACCTTCAAAAGAAAAGAAAAACAAAACACACAAAAAAGAAATAAAAAAAAAAAAATTAAAAAATAGTTTAAATAACACTGTTAATCCCTACCACCCCAGAGAAGAAATCCCAGGTTCATTACATCTACTGATGTTCTACTGTGTGCATGCTATGGACTAGTAAAATCACAGATGCAAAAGTAAGGCATGAAGCTACACGAATATAACCAAAGCCGCTATGTCCGTATGCCCACTAAAACACTGTCTAGTTGTCTTCTGGTTTCAGACTACCCTCTGCTGTAGGACAGAGCTGAAGATGTGACAGGAAGTCTGATCATATCATTTGTTTTAGAGGACAGTAAGAGCATCTAGACAAGATGCTACACAGCAATGTAGCTGCAGCATCATGGTTTGTGACCACTGATGCTATGTTGCTGTAGCAATGAGCTCCCTCAGTATAGAGCATTGCTATGGCAATGTAGCTGCAAAAAAAGTGCGCCATCAGCGTGCAGCAATCCAGGCTGTTACTGTGCTGTCATTTAGGACTCCCAAAAAGAAGTCCTAAATGATGGCGCCATAAGGACATGTGTAGACGTGCCCAGTGAGAATAAATATTCAAAAGGATAATTATGCATAATTAATATGCAGCTTCCAAACTGGATACTGACTAACACACAAATTTGGCTTATATGAGTTTTGAAATTCAAACCCTTTGTGTTCCTGCAGCCATTTGGATTCTTCTGAACTGACTTGTAGATTATTGCATGGATCCAGAGCTATCTGCTGCTTTGTTCTTCTGGACGCATAAGAAGTTATTCGAAGCACTGCTGTGTGTAATGCACATATTTTTACTTGTACTTTTCCACCGGTTAAAGCAGGGGTGGGCAATGATTTTGGCTGGAGGGCCACTTAAGGAGTTTTGGTGAGCTCGAGGGCCAGAAATTGGGCGGGGG